ATGATTTTTGTCACACTGGTGACAGTATCAATGCTAAACCAGCGTGATGGTGTCACCAGACACGCAGCAGAGGAAGGACAGAAGCCTCCCAGCTTGCCAGCGAGGGGTTAGTCCCAGCTTTCTTTGACAGGCAAGGAAGCCAAATACTTATTTTTAGCAGGTTGAAAAATCCACGAAAACTCTTTACTTTCAATGGAAAAGAGGCTTTACTTCATCACCCCATCCAGGAAGTGATGACTCCAACTGAAAAGCTGAGCAAACTCCGAAGATTTGCAATGAGCACTGTGCTCGGTCTGAATACACCTTAAAGCTTCCTAGGATGAGCTTACCAAAAGTTAAGATTTTTGTGAATTGATTGGGACCTAAAGTCTGTATTTTAAGAGCTAGTTATGAGATTATAATTGTTTTACTAGTCATTATAATTGCTTTTGAATATAGACTTTCAGGCTTAGATGTGTTTGTTTTCTTGATAATATGAACGTTAGACATGAAAAAAGAAACTGCAAGAGGCAATAAACCATGGACTGAAGAATAGGAGGATGCAGAGATAATCCTCTCATTTAGTGCATTGAATTGTTTAGCTTGTACCTAAAATAAAAAAGGTGTTTTTAAAAAAAACAATAACCTCTAGAATGTAAAGCCCATATCACACCTTGATTATTTAAACTAGCGTATACCTGACGTGCAAAATGAAAGCTGGTGTTCATTGGATAAGCTACGGGTACGTTTTGCATAAGTAATGAGCACGGTAAAGCACGCCGACACACGTTGACATATGGCAAGTACATTGAGAAAATTTCCTGACGCATGCCAGCGTATTCCATAGGTGGGGCATATACAGGTAAGTTATCTGATTGTTGACATTGGTTAAGTGTAAGTTACTCATAAGTCGTGATGTCTAGCTTATCCAAAACCTATGAGCAACTTCTCCTCCAGACTTCATCCCCATCAAAGGGTGAGCCTAAAGGTTAGTGTGATGGATCCTCCCTGCGTTCACGCCCACAACCAAAAAAAACCTCCAAGCAGGCATGATGCTGAATCTGCTGTGATTGCAAACCTTTTTAGTTTTTATTCATTCTTTTTTTTTGGCTGGCAGTATCATTGCTTCATCGCATCGCTTTTACTGATGCCATATAATGCTGCTCAAGCATCGTTTCATGGGCATTACGCTGCTGTGCATTAAGCATAAGTTAGGCTTTTGTTGGAAGTTTAGGACTCGTAATGAATATGCCCAAAATTGAAAAATGACAAAGAAAGCTCAGGGTATGGCAGCGTTTTAGGAGATTCTAGGATGTCGGGCATATGCTGTCTACATCAGCAAGGTGTGACAGGGCCCTAAGTTTTATTGACTTGGCAAAATAAAGTTAAGAAGTTTGTAACGGCATCTGTTGTTGGCTTTCTTGGCAGTTTTTCTGAGCCTTCTCTATCGTTTGTGTCAATATCAGAATCATATCGTTCAACTGAAATTGAGACATACATGATAATATAATAAATTTTGGCTGTATTGTTCAGTCCTACTTTGGATATGTGGATTACTTAGGATCTTATCAACTTCTAGTAGACTTACCTTCTGAGAGGCTTCCCTTTTCCGTTTTTCTTCTTTTTTCCTTTTCTTGTCTTCCATGAACTGCTGCTCCTGACCAGACTCTCGTTTCTGTAAAATAATGAAAACACAGGGAGCCATTTTAAATGTTCATCAGTTAAAATCACAGTGGTTCTATGAGGAATACAGGAGTGTTGAGCTCCCCTAACGACGCTTGCTTCTGTTAGTTGTTAGTCACCGTTAAATTACAACTTTCTTGATTTTATAATAAAAACAAAAAAAAAACCAATAAGGCATAAAAAAAAATAAAAGTGTCACTCATCATGGCCTTATGTGATTTAAAAAGTGCATTTAGAGGCCTATATGCGTCATTTCAGTAAAGAACCAGCCAAAAGAGACGGTTCTACTAATTTGCCCCCTTATATATTATCTTTTCATTCGGGCAGGGCAATATGCTCTTGGAATCTTATGATATTGGCTGATATTATAGTGAGAATTATAAAAAATTACAAACAAAACAAATAAAACATTACTTCTATGTATCAGTTTACTGTGACTGCTTACTACAGCAATCATAGCCCCACAATGATAAATCCTGAGGAATATAAACATTTAAATTTTGCCTCTTTGGGACAGCAGTTACATAAAGAATTATAATTTATATCGCTAAACATCTCGTAACTTAATTTAATCATATTCAAAAAAAATGAAAGAAAAAGAGGAACAATAGCATAATAAGTATAAAAAGTCTGACATTTCACCAAGTCTCTGGAGGTTTAAAATCATAATTGATTCTAATTAATGATTTAGATAATAAATGAAAAATTCTTATGACTAGAAACTGATCATGATAAATGATACAATAAATGCTCACCTCTACTCTTTAGTCTGCTTTGATATTCGATCAACAGCAAAACAATCATTCTAGTCCCTGTTCACATTAAAAAAATTATTATTAATGATTATTAATCTCGTTGCCAAGAGGAAGACGTTACATGGATATAACAAAACCGAATATCTTCAGAACAGCTCCAAATGACACAAAACTCATATGGGTGAGTAGAACATGATGTAATAATGTAAAATCAAGGCGCCAATGTAAAAAAAAAAACGGTGTTCCCCTTTATTACTGGCAATAACAAACTGTAATTTTAAAAGACCTTAGGAATGAATAGATTTGAGTATAAGTATTTTAATAGGGCTGGGTAAAAAAAGAAAATCGATTTAATCGATTTTGAATCGTTTCTTTTACATTTTTGCAAAATCGATGTCTAGGTAATGAGATTGATTAGTTTTATAGTGATGCGCGTGACGTTCACATTCAAATGAGCAGGAAAGATGCACTCAAGATTACTTCAATCCAGACAGCTGCAAATATAGCCAACAGGTTGACTGAAGACATTAACAAATGGGGGCCGACCAGCAAACACCCTGTAGTTGTTACAGGCAATGCTGCAAATATGGTTTGTGCAGTGAAGATAATGCAGCTCATGCATGTCTGCTGTGTCCCCGCTGTGTCACATCTGCTTACTTGTGAGGCTTCACTTTTTCACTTTTCACAAACAAGTTTGCACTTACAAGACAGTTTTGTTCACATCTCAAGTTTAAACTGTCCGATTTACAAGGTTGCACTTTGTGTTTAATGTGACAGGACAAAAATAAAATGAGTATTTTGAAACACAGTTGAACCACTTTCATTATTTTAAAAACAAATCGAATCGAAATAATCGATTTAGAACTGTATCCATCAAAATCAAATTGATTCAGGACTTAGGCGAAAATACCCAGCCCTATATTTGAATGAGAAAAGCCATTAGAATACATATAGGGAGATACTAGGGATGGAACGGTTTATGAAAACCGTCTGAACCGTTCGGTTCGACTGTCTCGGTTCGGTTCGCGTGTGTTGCGTTCGGTTCATGCGCTGCTCCTTTTTCTCATAGGCGAAGCGTGTACACTCCAGAGCAGAAGGTGGCGGTACTGCGACCAAAGCCAACCACCAGTAATAAACAAGAAGAAGCGAAGCAGTGTAGCCGGGTGTAGCAGAAAAAAATAAGTTGTTGTGGAGAATTGTGTGGGTATGGCGAGTGGGAAAGAACAGGAGTTGGAAGACGCGCCAGCAGTACTTGCTGTATTGAACCATTTTGCATTTAGAGTGACCTACGATGACTGCGGAAAGTAAGTTGTGGATAAAAGTGCAACAGTGTGCAAGCATTGTGCAAAACGTTTTGTTTATGCTAAGAGCAACACGACCAACATGTCTTGCTAACCCCGAAATCCCACATACTCCCGTCATCGCTGCGCTCCAAACTGCCTGCACAAAGCAAAGCCTACAGCCTCCGCTGTGGCTCCCGTCCGCTCCGCTCTGAGTTCCTTGGAGATCGTAGAGGGCATGCGCGAGATGATCAAATTCAAATCAGCAAAACATGCGGAAATGATCCAGGGTTTCCGCGGATCATTAAAATAATTACAATTCATACATTTTTGGGGGATTTTTTCATAATTTTTTATGGGATTTCGGTGTAACAATCAACCTATACCGAACCGAAAACCGTGACCACGAAACCGTGAACCGAACTGAACCGTGGATTTTGTGAACCGTTCCACCCCTAGGAGATACACATTTTTATTTAACAGTACATTTTTTAAGTAATGAATGAGGTGTAAAGGAATGCAAACAGAAAGACAATATATGGCATTGACGAAAAATTAGAAGCTATAACTAATGTTAGAGAGCTATAGAAGATCCATGTCTAACACAGGAGCTCAGTGCACTGCTGAGCTGGGGCTTTGCCAACCTGTTAGTTTCGTTTTTGGTTTTCCAACAGGCAGGATTCCTGAGCTTTCTGACCTCAGGCCTCGAGGTCCACAAAGTAAAAACTGGCTTCGATTATATTTCCATCAGTCAAATGATCCCCAATAATCCCCCCTCCCTCCCCAGATGACAGGTGGAGCTAAACCCAATCAGCATATGCTGTTATAGGTGCTGTTAACATTTTTCTAATATCGTTAAAGCTAGCTTACGCCACAGTATAAGGATATGTAAAGCAAACAAAATTAAATTCCTTTAACAGAAAACCACATATAGGCGTGATTAACTATAAAACTTGCACTCTAATAAAGCATTCATGCTAACACCAAGAATGGATGTAATTCTTCGTTAAAATGAAGGGACGTTAAAGCGCTCTGTAACCTTTTAATCAGGACAAATGTCACTCAACTTTAAGTACGGTTAAGTAGAACTCAACGATCAGAACCTGCAAGCAGACGGAAGGCCGAAAACCGAGCTCTGCAATAGCACCGCTACACCTAAGCTAGGCTAACGTAAGCAAATGACAGCAGCTACGAGTAGCAGCCGAATGCGCTAAAGAGGCAACAAGCGTCGCACTTCACTGACAGTTGCCGCGTTTTGCATGCGAACATTTAACGACACAACCCACCATTAAAGAACAATCCAAGCTACTCACCTCAGGAATCACATAAGAAGATATGCTAGCTTGCTAGCTAGCTTAGCTAAAGTGCTTTAGTGCGATCTTTCTGTTTTTGAGGCATTCGTCGAGGCAACAAGGAACCAAGACGCCTGAGCGGAGAGCCGAGTAAGTGGCTAATGATGAAAAAGACACGCGAAATAATACGCTACTGGTTTGCAAATAAGTACTAATGTTCCGAGTGTAAACCCTAATGTGCGGAAGAGTTTAAATTTCAAAGCGCTGTGGAGTCGGTCGGTTGACGGGCGGCCATTTTGCTGCTCAGCATGCAGCGTCTCCAATGGGCAGCCCGAAGCAGCTGCGGGGATGCGCTCTGACTGGCTGGCTCGCTTCAGGAGGGCTGAATAAAACACGCTTTCTGACCTTCATAAACTTCACACTAACTTTATATCAGCTCATCAGGGTTTGAACGGAATACAAATAAAGCGAATCTGCAGCAAAGACATAAGTAACTTCTTCATTGACAGGATGGGTCCGAGAAAAGGAGTGACGAGGAAAAGGAAAAGTGAGGATGCAGCTTTGGTGGAGGAAACAGAAGCAGCAAAGACTGAGGAGAAAGGAGGCATCAAGGGGAGCAACAAATACATAGGAGCTCATGTTGGGATTCAAGGTAAGAGTTATGGAATCTCCCAAGGCTCTTCTCCTTAACCTGTTGACAACTTTTTAATTTGCGTGGTTCAGGGGTCATTTCTGGAAAAGGGCCCCACATAAAACCCTCTGAGGAATATTCATAAAAATCAGCTGCAACTCGCTTTGCGGTGACATTTTCATCCGGAAATGTCAAACGTTACTAGAGACCGTTACAGGGAGATGCCACACTCCATGGAAGGGGATTATTGAAAAAACAACAACAGCAAAAATTTAACCGAATATAGTGAAAAATACTGTTTTCTGACTTTAAATCTGAGAATTAAAAGTCGCATTATTTAAGAATTTACTGCCAAAGTGCATGATTATTACTTTGATAAAGTAGGACTATTGCAAGCAATCATTCTATGAGAATAATCCTTATTAAAGTCTGCATTTTGAGCCTTTTTGTGTCGTTTTTTTTTCTAACCCTGACCTAGCCCTAACCCGTTTTGTCAGGTTGATAACTTCAGTTGGTGCCAATTCACAACACATGTCATCTCAGGGCACTTTACAATTCAACCAGATCATACAGTCAGATTGATTTAAAGTTTTCTATCTTAGGAAAACCAGTTGATTGCATTGAAGGCAATCCCTCACACTAAGCATACTTGTAGCGACAGTGGAGAGGAAAAACTCCCTTTAACAGGAAGAAACCTCCAGCAGAAACAGGCTCAGTGTGAGCGGCCATCTGCTGAGGCCAACTGGGGTTCAACAACAAAAATTCCACCGAATATATATAGTGAAAAAGACTATTTTCTGACTTTAAATCTGAGAATTAAAAGTCGCATTACTTAAGAATTTACTGCCAAAGTGCATGATTATTACTTTGATAAAGTAGGACTATTGCAAGTAATCATTCTATGAGAATAATCCTTAGATTAAAGGCTGCATTTTGAGATTAAGTCAGAAATCAATAGCCTTTTTTGGGTCGTTTTGTAGTTTTTTTTTTTTTTTTTTTTCTAACCCTGACCTAGCCCTACCCCAACAGGGAAGAACAGGAGCACTTGGATCATAAAAGATTAAGATAATATTAATAATTAATATTAATTATATTAGATAACGATATAAGATATTAGTTTATTATATTATAAATATAAAGTAAAGGAGATACGTTTATTGTTAGTATACTGTCATTTTGTTCATTCATACCAGTAGGTGGCGATAATGCACTTTTAAATTATTTGCCAACTACCATCAAACGTCACTTAAGAAGAACAGTTCCCCTTTAATTCCGTAATAGTAAAAAAAAAAAAAAAAAAGATATATTTTTTTAACTTTTACGGAATGACTATGACCAGGATGACTGAGAATCAGCATGTTCCCCTTTAAACCAGGGGGTGGCAGCAGTGACTATTGATAGCTTCAACACCGGACTCAAAAACTCTGGAAGTATTTTGTATAAAATACTAAAACAAGAAAGGTGAGCCACGCCTTGCTCAAAGTCTGGATCTGCTGATCAAAGAAGAAAGCAGAGCAAATGAAGAAGGTGGGAGCAGAACAGACACCAGAGGCTGCAGACACACGCAGTGCCTTACTCATAAACATGAAAGGATTTTAAGGATATTTTTACCAGAGTTGGGCCTCATGTTAAGGAACAGTTCATTAAAAACTGGTAACGATCCAGATTCTGTGTGAGTTTTAGCTACAAATGTAAGTCACCATATTGAGGGGAAATGTGCTCTTTGGGGAATCTCCGTGCTTTTCTAGTTTAAATTTATTCATGGCCATTTCATGGTTTAGGTTAAGTTGTTTTTAACATCTGATTAGGCGACTTAACTGTTTATATTTTTTTTAAGTTGTCACATTGTGATCTCTGCTTTATTGGCTTTCTGTTGACTCCAGGTGGGATCTGGAAAGCGGTGGAATCCAGCGTGGAGATGGGGGGCAAAGGTTTTGCTCTGTTTCTCGGCTCTCAGCGGTCATGGAAGAGGCCTGCTTTGGACCAGAAAGCTGCAGAAAAGTTTCAGGAGCAGTGTTCCCTGCATGGTTTTGACCCAGTTCACATCCTACCTCATGGCTCCTACCTGATGAACTGTGGCTCTCCCAAAGATGGTTTGTTAGGACATTTCATTTATGTAGGAGCTTTGTTTTTAACCTGCATGCAAGTTCTATTTTATTGAAGAAATTGGTCTGTTTTTTTGACTTAACAAGATAATGCTGCTGCAGTGGATGTTACTGTTGGTTTTGCAGATTTCTAAGCAAGAGACGCCTTTCCTTGGAGAAGCTTCAACATGTCCAGTTTGTTGATTTTAATTGTTTAATTCGCACTGAGAAATTCTCTTGTCTCAGAAGATGCGACTTGGCGAAGCAACCTGTTAAAATGGCACAGTTACCTCCCTTCCCCTTTTCTCAAAGTTTATCTTGTTAATTCAGAAAAACAGACCAGTTTCTTTTTTTTTTAAAGATGAATTCAATATGTACCCCTCCTTTAGTTATCAAATTGATTTCTCTTCAAGTTTTCTATCTGTTAGATCATGCTTTTTTTTTGGTTGAACCAATCTGTTAAAGATGTGTTTGAAAAGAGCCAGGCGCTGCTGGTGGATGAGCTCAGCCGATGCAGCCTCCTGGGCCTCAGCCTCTATAACTTCCACCCCGGCTCCTCTCTTGGCACCATCACTACTGAGCAATGTGTGAACAAGATAGCAGGAGCTATTAATCATGCTCACCAGCAGACGCCTGCTGTGGTCACAGGTACAGAACAAGACAACAAACCCGAACACGCAGGTTGTTCTAAAAGAGACCGTTTGTGTGAATTTGCATCTGTCTGGAAACCTCCAGATTTTTTTAATGTTTTAGTTTGTGTTATTAATTCTAATATTGGTAACAAATTGTGCTAAAGGCATTAAAATGCCAAATCTGTAAGCACTATGTTGATTAATTCTGTAAACCCACCTTTAGAATTAAAACACTGCTCTGGTTCTTTATGTAAGTGATTGATGAAAATGACAGCTTCATTATGGCTTCTTTAAATGGGAAAGAAAATATGCCATAATCTAAAATATAGCAGTTTTGCTTTTAAATATTGAGTCAAACACAACAGTTTTTTCATTTTGAAATCCTCTTAAAGAAAACCTTGTATGCTTTTATTTTTTCAGGTGTACAAAATAACTCAAGTCTGTCTTATAAAGAAAGTGGGTCTGTTTTAGTCAAGTTGTTGATGAATAGATTAACTTTTGTTTAATTTTTTTTTCCAAAATCAGTTTTCACTTTTAAATAATATCTGGATAAGATAACTGATATAAAAAAGTTAAATGAAATAGAACATTTTATCATAAGGGCGGATTCCATCAGGTGTTCAGAGCTTCATCTGCTCTTTTAACTAAATACATTTTATTGTTTAGCCAGGCATCCCCAAAGTTGGTCCTCGAGGGCTGCTGTCCTGCAGGTTTTAGAGGTTTCTCTGCTTTAGTACAGCTGACTCTGATGATTCAGTTCAGCAAAAGTCTGTTTATCAACTATCGATGTAAATCAGCTGCGCTGGAGCAGGAAAACCTCTAAAACCTGCAGGACAGCTGCCCTCGAGGACCGACTTTGTGGATGCCTGGTTTAGACCTTTTACAGTTTAAAAATAAATAAAAAGCTGGTAGTTACAGGTCAGGAGGAGAAATTGAATTGGTTCATTTCTGCCAAAGCTTCATAATATCTCTTAATCAATGCAGGTTTTATTCACCGTCTTTTTTTTTTCCAAACCTACATTATGGCTGGAAATCGCCTCCAGTTTATGGATGTTTTGGGTTTTTCTTTATGGGATTTCAAAGTCCTATTGGGCTTTGAAAGGCAAAATGATAACAAAAAGTGCTTTGTTGTTATTTTTTTGTTTTCCTATATGAGACCAATAAGCCCCTTATGTCAGTGGATGTGCAGCTGTTACCTGTAGATGACACTGCCAGTACTTCATTTTTATGTAGACTTCTTAAAAAGTTACTTATAGATTTTACCTCTTTAAGTAAGTTTTGCAGATTTGAGACAAATTCATAATTTGGTTATCTTCAAAACAATTTTTTTTATATATATATATTTTTTATGGGGTCAGTTTTGGAGAACATGAGCGGCCAAGGCAGCACCGTTGGCGGGAAGTTCTCAGAGCTTAAGAGCATCATAGACAAGGTGAGAGACCAGACGAGGGTGGGAGTGTGTCTGGATACCTGTCACGCCTTCGCAGCAGGTAAAAGTCACCTCAACCTTTTTTTTTTTTTTTTTTTTTTTTTAAACTGAGTTAAGTTGAGTTGTGTACATTTAATTTGATATTGTGTGAGTTTCTGCTTGTTTATCTGCTCTTTCTTTCTTTGGGAGGTTATGACCTTGCTGCAGAGGGAGGAGTAACCGCCATGCTTGATCAGTTTGATCAGGAAGTCGGTCTTAACTTTCTGAAGGCTGTTCATCTTAACGACTCTAAAGGTGCAGGCAGGACCTGCTAGATATTCTGTCTAGAAATGTTGGTGTTTTGCCATTCTTTACGCTCCTTTCTTGTTTATAATCACAGGTAAGCTCGGCTGTAACCTGGATCGACATGAAGATATCGGCAAAGGCAACATCGGACTCTCTGCGTTCAGGGACATCGTCAATGAACCGAGACTGGACAATATTCCACTGATACTGGAGACGCCCGGACGGTGGGATTTTTTTAAGGAAACAATTTAGAAAATCTCAAAAAAATGTTAGGGTGTTTGATAACATTTTAGGGATACAACCACATGTGAACAGCTAATTCAGTTTTTATGTCTTGTTTCGCTGCAGGCCTGGATTCGAATATGCTGAGCAAATCAAGCTACTCTATTCCTTGTGTGAGGACAAAAGCAAGCATGGCCAAAACTAAAGCTTTCACTGAATGTTACGCACAAAGATTATTACCACACTGTTTTAAAGAGTTTATTTTTTATGTTTTTCAATAAAATGAATAAATGTGGCACTTGGAGAATTTGTTTTACTTTCTCAATGACCACAAGGGGGCAGCAGACTCAAGCCTGTTCAGGTTTTCCTACCAGTCAGAAAAAAAATAAGATAAACATGAAATAAACAGTCATGTTTTTTTATGGTGTTTTTAAGGCATAATGTAGTCAAAAGTTCATGTTAGAAGCATCTTTAGTTTATCCTTAATGTAAATAAAATTCTGTTATTTCATTTTAATTGGAAAGAATGCTTTAAAAGACATGCTATTCAGTAAGGGAATCTTTTATTAGTTGGGTCCATGATGCTGGATGTGATGCTGTTCCATCTGCCCTGTTGTTAACAACATGTTTGGTCTAAATTAACCTCATATTTGAGATGAACTAAAAGTGAACTCTCATTCTGTGCACAGTGGGAATACCCTGGATCATAAATACAAATTTCCCGTGTAACATGTTGGTACAGCTGAAGGAACTGATTCTTTTCCATTCCTTTTAACACACTGACGTTCATGAAAATTGGCTGAACACTTACCCAAGGAGGTGTGGAAATATTTGCCTAATTGTTGCTTTACAAACGAGCTACGGTGTGTTCTGGGATAAATGGATAAACAAGAGTTGCACATAATTGTTGGGTGGAGAAGAATGATTCACATTTTGTAACAAAAGGCAGATTTCTAAATCTTATTGCTGCAGCTGCTGAGGAAGAGCCTCCCCACAGCATGATGCATCCACCACCGTGAGGATGCTATATTAAGGTTTTGTTCAGGGTGAGTTGCATCAAGCATAGCCTTTTTATTGGGTATTTACGTCAGAGAATTGAATCTATGGTTTGCACAATGGTTTCGTTCTCTCATTCACTGACACCAGTGCTGCAACTTTTTTTCGTTACCTGATCTAACCACCTTGTGTTAATCCACTACTGCACCCAACACAAGCTGGGACAGATGGAGCCCTTTTCCATGCTCCGGTCCAGACGCTGTCTTTCAAAGACAGGAAGCTGAGGTGCCTGGCTAAAAGAATGTCTCCGTCTCAGGTCCCACCCACAGGAAATGCCTGTCCAGCCTGTGTGAGTCTATAGCTATGAAAATACATGTTTCTGTTGGTGGAGTGCTGCCTTTAGCAGAGGAAGAACTGGAGGGAGTATGCATGCGTTTTGGGTCAGATAAGAGATGCCTGATGGGTTTTAGGAGTTGTGGGGTTACAACCAGGTGAAGTCGGAGACTAAATAGTGAACACATGATCGTAAAACCCAGGGAAACCTGGATGGAACCATAAAATGTCTTTCCATTATCTAATCGTCTTGAGATGTGTTTTATTACAAGATTCTACTGTATTGTTTGCACTGGTTTCATGACTCACTGCTTTGTGCTTCAAATATTTTCCACTGTGGCCTTAAACCACCGGTCTAATTATAAAACTTTTAAAGACTGGCAGATAATGTAGTCTCTCTCTCTCTCTTCCTTTGTTTCTCTCCAAAGTTTGTACTGTAGAGAGAAACAAACTCTTGAGCTCTTTGTGTCTGAACCAAGTTTCCATCGGGCCGATGGCTGCAGGGGAATCTGTCAACAAGCTGCCGTACAGTGAAGATGGAAAACCATTTCAGGAACATGAAGAGTTTGCATCCTGACCTTTGTGATACAAAGAGAAAACCTCAGCAGGGTGCAGACACCACAATGTTCTTAGCTGCCTTTGACCATGTCGCTCTGCAGAGCACTACTACATAAATCAGCAAGTATCTCTTTTGCTTTAATCAGTTTTCTTACATATTTGAATTTATATAATATGTTTATCATTACAAGCCGTGAAAAACAATCCTTTGATCTAAATCTAAAGCTTTTGGCTAGAGTGGAGGACAATCTGGCCTTTAAGATTTTAATTTCCCACTTGAACTTTAAACCTGCTGAGACAGAAAATATCCAGTGATAGTTTATTATTGTGTAGAAATGATTCTTAGCATGTTTAGCTCCATGTCAGGCCCTTGAGCAAAGTAACCTGGGCCTTTGGAGGAGAAACAGGCCCACAGCATCACAGATCCTCCACCGCACTTCACAGTTTGGACGAGATGCTCGCCTAAGAAAATAGTGGTTGCTTAGTTACCAATACATCCAGGGTGTTTGCTGGTAAAAAAAAAAAAAAAATCCCATTAAAGCCCACAGTTCTAATTATTTACATTTTCGTTTTTTGATTGTGATGTTAGGGAAGATAAGGGCTTTTTCTCTGCCCTTAAAGAACTTGGGGTATGTAGATAGCACCTAATGTTTGTTATGCTCATTTAATGTGACTATATACTGTGATCTGGTCTTTTCCACTCTTAATAACTGAAACCATCAATTCACTGATGAAAAAGACATGAATCCATCCATGATTTCACCTGGAGAAAAAAAACCCCTTAAAAACAAAAGTAGACTTCTGTGAAGTCAATTGCAGAAAGAGTAGAAAGAAGAGAGATGGGGTTGTATTCAAGCCTTAAAAATCAAACTGAACCAAACCACCTCACAGTCTGAATGAACCATCTGCCAGCACACCCCAACATGACCAGGCACAAAATCCTCAGACTGCCTGTACGCTCTTGCTCATATAAGCCTTAGAAATCTCCAACAAACACGAGTCGTCTTGTTCAGTAGATATAGGAGCTTCAGGGCAGGGTGGAGACCTCTCTGCTTTTTCAGCCAGTCCTTCATTTCTGCATCTTAGCAGCAGCAAATACATCAACAGCACACTTTACTGTCTGGCATTCCTGTTACCTGTGAGAAAGCCAGGCAGTGAGGACGTTCAGGAATAGTTTATTATAGCTCTGCGTGAAGCCATAACGTGTGGACAGCTGTTTTAGAGCCAGTAGATGAGACAAGAAACAGAAGAGGTGGAAAAAAGGGAAGGTCACAGACAAACCTGTGCTCTAAAAATCATTAACCGACCTGCTTCATACAGGATGTATTCTGGTTGTTCTTTTCATTCCTTCTTTTGGACCCATTCCAATCCCCCTTGAGGTCCTTTGCTTCCTGCTGGCCCAGGAAGAGGAAAGCTACCCAGCGGTGGCTACACAGGAGAGATGCATAAATAAGAACCACAATGCTCCAAAATGTACAGGAGGAAAACTGGTGGGATTAACAGAGAAACATGAAGAGTATTCGTAAAGCAGAATGTTTAGTTAGATCTGGATCCCCACTTTGACTTCTTTGTCATGAATTTAATGATCCACATCTGCTGTCAACTCTGCCTCCTTTTAATTCGTCCCTTCCTCTAACAGACCCAAGAGGATACGATTCTTATTTGCTGCTCTGAGAAGTTGAAACAAAAACTTAACTAAAACATACACGTTTTATGGAATATTTATCAATTTTCAGTTAGTTTCTTTTGATTGGAAACCTGATTTCAATGTTTCTTTTTATAAAACATGGACTCTTGGAGACGCCTGCTCCTCCACACAGAGAGGAACCAGCACTGAAGGATCATGATCCCTTATCTGTCCCAGCAGGATAGATGTGATGGACTTGGACCAAAAACAGACCTCAAAAAGCCTCGCTCTCCTTCTGCATTAAAAGAGCACCAAACATAGTTTTCTTCATGTCTTTATACACTGTATTGCAAAAAAATATTCACTTACTGACACAAATCCACGGATCCAGGTCCTGCAGTCGCTTCCATACCTACATATGGGTCAGATCAAGCACTTAGTCTTGCAAACTGCTCCTACAAACAAGGATTCTACCTGTGCAACAAATCCAGCTGTGATTCTGAACACTAAATATTCGGCAGTGAAAGTGAGCAGGAAAAATAAAAAGCCAGCCGATGTGATGTATTTTAGAGAATAAGTGTTTGTTTTCCTTTTTCTTCTTCATGTAAAACAAGGGTGCGGTAAATGGATGCAGTAGGAAGGTTTCAGGAACATCAATATCTGATGAAACTGGAGCATAGATGATAATGTATAAATAAGGTTGAGCTAAAGTAAAGGACTGTTCTAGAAAAGCACCTTGTTCAAACATGTAAAGCGTCTTCAGCACATGAGAGGGAAGTCTGTGCATACAAAGGGGGTCTTCCAGGTCAATCATCCACATGGAGAGACAGGGGGTCAGACATAGATGATTGTCACTGCTCGGAGACGCTCATCTACTCACATTTGTTTTCTTCTGACCTTTCTTTGAGCGCAGCCTTGGAGCTCAGCAGCCAGTGGAATTAGTTAAGTAAACAAACAGTACAGTACATATGAGTCTTTGTCATCACACCTTCAGATGGATGAGCCTGAAAGAAAGAGGTTTTACTCAGATGCCACATACCATCAGAAATGTAAATAAGCCATTTTCCTATGGAATTTTCCTTCCTTTGCTCAGTTGGACTGCTTCTGTGGACTCATACATCATCCAGCCTTACTGTTTGGCTTTGTTGGATATCCTGCAAATGGCAATGATCCTGAAATCAGAGACTTAGGGTTGCACTCCCACTCTGCCTGAATAAAACTGCTTGAAAAGACCAGCAGACTATAGTCTTACTGAAGCTTCTTCCCCTAGTTTTAAAAGGTTACAGTGGGCATCTGTTCATCAAAGAACAATCTGTTCAGTTTCATACTAAAGAGTATATATTTCTCCGCCTGAAAATAACAAAATAAACTTTAATTAAGCTCCCCACAGCATCTCCTCCTGCTCTATAGCTGGTTGTATGTTAGAGTGGCTTTTAAAGGCTGGATTAAACAGGCTTGATGCAGAGATAAGGGAGACCATGCATGTCCAGAGTCAGTCTTCGAGGTCTGCAGTCCTGCAGATTTTAGATGTTTCCCTGCTTTAGCACAGCTGATTTCCATTGATTACTGATTAACAGGCTGTTGTTGAACTGAGTTCATCAGAATAAGCTGAGCTGAATTTGTAGGACAGCGACCCTCGCGGACCGACTTTGGACATGCATGGTGCACACCAACCAGGCAAATTTACCAGCACCGAACAGGTACACAAACTGGTAGAATCTCCCAGTTCAGCAGCTCACACTGATCTCAACAGGCAGCTTTTTTATTACCTACCACACCCT